AATTTGTCATAAAAGCATTCTGTCGGATAAACAGATTGAAATTAATCTTAAGAAGATTAATTTAAATTAATCCAGAATTATCCGGAAGTTTAGGATCATTGTGGGCAATCATTGTAGTTTATCTCTACATAATGATACAAATGAGTTATTGTTGATTGGTAATGATTGATAAGAGATATATGTATTGAAAAATTTTCTGAAATAGTTGTTAGTAAAAAAGATTTGTTATAATTTATTAATTAATTTCAACCATATTATTTTGCCTAATTATTTTTTTTTCCCAACTGAATGGTTTTCGAAAATATAGAAGAAACCAGAGAACGGATTGGTGAATTATCATGTATGGATCTGGATCTATCATACTAATAGCCACGTAATTAGTGAATTATCACTAGTGGATCTGGATCTATCATATAATAGCCACGTAATTAGTGAATTATCACGTAGTGGATCTGGATCTATCATACTAATAGCCACTAATTATCTGTTTACCACATAATTACGTAGTAAGATGAAAGTATCGAATGATGATTTCTTTTCTTTTTCTTACGGATAATTTTTGGTACAATTTTGTATATTTCAAGAACCAGTTACCCACATTTATGGATACGGTAATACCGGGTGAAGCATCAGAAACCGATGAAGATGATGATAATGGTTGTAACGATTGCAATGCAAGTAACAGGAAGCAAGTCAATGATACTGTGCAAAATGATGGAGAAATAAGGTTTAACATTATTTTGAAAAACAAAAAAAGAAAGAAGAAAAGCAAACATTGAAGTTCTATTTAATTTTCATTTCAAAAAATTTGTGTAAATAATTTAAGAGTGAAGTTTTTTCTGTTTTTCTCATCTTTACACAAAATTAGAATGAGGAATTCGTAAAATTCATAATAAATTTACAATTTCTTATGAAAGAAAAAAATTAAACTTTCATAATAAATTGTAAAATTTTCCACTTAATTTCACCACATTATTTAGCTCGTCATATGAAACTGTTACCAAATGCACCAACACTTTGTAATACTTACAACCAATCCTATTACATAAGATTGTCTGTAAATACTAAAAAATCAAAAGTTGAAAGGAATTCTTTGTAATTTAAATATATCAATTTTTAAAACATTTCAACAATATAAGCTTAATTTTTGTAATTTTTGAAAGAAATTCATTGCAGGAATTGGAATTTAAATGAAACTCAACAACGATCATGGATTTTGCATGTTGATGAAAAATTGGAGGAACGTTGGCGAACACTTGGTTACGATACAATAAGACTTGCTGAACGTCAAGCATTTGCGCAACGTAAACAGTTTCAAAATTTAAAACACAATTTATGCAATACACAGCATGCTATACAGGTATTATTTTAATTACACTTATCAATGATTTATTAGGACTAAGATTACTGATGATTACAGTGATTACAGTGACCATTCGGACGATATCTATCATTTTCGGGAATCCATAAATTGTTGCTGGAGTAATAGTAAGCCAGAATTCCATTATTGAGGGTTTACAATAACTAGAATGAATGGTTTTTTCTTTGATTAATATCGATAAAATGAGTTATTTACGAAACTTCTTGAAACATATTGTTGCTGATTTATTCGTTGAGAGCATTATGAAGAAAGTTAAATTCTAAAAATTTTTGTGGAATTTAGCGATTTAACTTGTCTTTCTTTCCTTTCTCCCTTTTTTTTTTTGAAAATTCGGTGTGAAAGGCGTGAAAGTATTTGAATATCAACAGTGAATTTAAAATATTATTTTATTTTCTTATCATTTCCATTCTTGATGGTCGTTTGCAGAGTGATATCTTGTAAACATTATCGTTGTTGTTCGCAAAAAAAGCAAAAACTTTTTCGCTATCATAGGAAGGTTTATTATGTTTGGAAGAAATCTTTTTTGTATTTTTGCAAAATTAGGTTTGTATCATTTTATCAATTTAATTTTGTCATCAATAGTAATATATGATCGAATGGTAAATAATACTAAAGGATTTTTCGCCCTTTTTACCTGTCATGCATTTGTCTCCTAAATACGATCCTTTAATATTTCCTATCTTTTGTTTTTTTTTCTTTTCTTGCACTTTCTTTCATTGAAATAGATTTTAAATAAATTTCACATTTTCAAATGATTTTTTCCTTGTATAGTATCTACTGTGGAAAACTTTTGCATTTGTGATGAAAATATTTTGTGTGACATATGCATTTTAATGTAGTTAAATGTAAAGTGATCATATCTGAAGTGATCGTATTTCATGTCAAATCATAATATGTCATATCTCAGTTATGACTTGAATGTTATGTCGTTAAAACTGTGGTATGAATTATTTTTTCCTTCTTTTTGAAAATTATTTTTAATTAGTAAATTTTTCTTTGGTTATATCTTTCGATATTTTCCTAGAAGAAAAATAATATTCAAATTTTTTTAGGTGTTAAGAGAAAAAAAAAAGGAGAAAAAAGAAGACCATGTCATTATCTTTATCTGAATTAATTATGCGAATGAAATTTTGTTTTATTTCCTTTTTTTACAGTATTTGAATTCCATTGAATTGATATTTGTTAGCTTTACATGTTTATTATTTCAATAACAAATAAAATAAAAAAAAAAAAAAAGGAAATGAAGTAATAGCAAATTGTACAAGATACGAGCTGGATTCTTTTTGTATGTAATATGTCGGAAAATGCTGGAATTTTTTAATTTGTTTGAATTTTACTTAATTTAGTTTGAATTTAAAATTCACCATCAGTTAAATTTTACTTTTCTAAATAATATTTGATATGAGAATCTCTTATACTGAATTATGGGATGATATTTGTCAAAGTGCAACAATTTGTTATCATTCATATCATATCATTAATTGTATCGAATAATTTTAATACAATAATTGATTTTATGATGTTTAAAATGAGCGGAAAAGAAAACGAAGAGAGGAATGCTGTTTTGTTGAACTCATTGAAATTCCGACAATAATGTTGTGAGAAAATGGAAACGGAAGTGAAATTTTGTTGGACAAATAATCAAATAATGATCGAAATATGAAGCAGATGTGTCGACAAATTGCTCTGATGGTTTCTTTTTTTTTTGAATTTTTTGTTTTAGAAATGTGTTATTCCAATTGATTAACATTGATGTATTCTCACAATTGGAAAAAATTAGTCATTCATTTAACTTATAAATAATGTATAATTATATCTATGAATAATTAAAATAGTAATATATTTTAAGGAAAATTATTGGAAATTTGTTCCTCTCTCTCTTTGTCCCTCCCTTTTTCCCTCTCCATCTGTCTCTTTCTATTAGAATATAATAAGTATTTCATCGATAAAAGCTCTCTTTATTATCAATAACGCAAAAGAAAAAAAAAAAAAAGAATAGATATTAAAAATATCCATGCATATTAACCGTTCAATTATTCTCATTAAAATGCAAAAAATCTCCTAATGAACATAACCATTTTTATCTTTTTTATTTTTTCAAATTTTTGATATGACATTATTTGTTATGATATTTATCTGTTCGAAATTTCTCAAAGTTTAATCTTTATTGTACTACTTCTGGCCGAGATTTCTTAATGTTCATTCTTATTGCATTACTTTCTTTTCGTTGAGATTTTTTCATTGTTCAGTGTTGATGTGTTTTCTTCCTTTGCTTTCATCGATTTCTCATCATAATTTCTCAATTGCAATCGTTGATACATTCCTTACTTTATTTTGGTATTTATTGATGTTTAATGTTGGTATATATTACTTTATTTTCTCCGAGTTAATTTCTCAATATTTGATCTTAACGTATTTCTTTGTTTTTTTCTAAGATTTCTTAATGTTTGACCTTGATATGTCTTCCATCATTTGTCTTCTCCTATTTCTCATCTTATTTTCTTAATTTGCATTTTTAATGCATTTATTTATTTATTTTTTTTTCAAGGTTTCTCAAAGTTTGATGTTGATGTGTAATTCCTTTCATTTTTCTAAGATTTTTTTCACATATTTTGATTTTGACATATCCACTTCTCATCATGAGATTTTCCAAAATTTCTATATTAATGCATTTATTTTTGTTTTTTTTCTTTCTGTCTTATTCAAGATTTCTCGACTTATATTTATATTTGGTTAAATTTGTTATATTCGATTGCTTTAAGATCTATCAATTTTTTTTTTTTTTTTTCCTTTCAAATGAATGAAAAAGATTGGTTCAAAATAAGGGAAGTAAGAAGGAGAATGAATGAATGCAATGCTTAATGACACTTTAACATGTAATATTTAGCTAAAAATGCTGCATTTCCCCTACTAGTATCATTTTCATTCCACATTATCGTTGTTATTGAAATTTCAATTTATCCATAACATCTTCCTTACCATTCCCTAAAGACTGATGAAATTTAATAGAATATTGAATGCTTATGCTAGTGCTATGATAAAATGTAAGAAATGTTATATGTTTGTTTTAGAAAATTTTTCTAATTTTTGCTTAAAAATTGCTTAATAGTGATTCTGTTCAGTTATCCTAATTATAAGAGTGAAAGAATAATTCTTAACTTACAATTAGCAATCATTTACTTGGCACTTAATTAGTATTCTGTTCAGTTATCCATGCTATAATGAACGAATAATTTTTGACTTACAGTTAGCAATCATTTATGAAAATGATGATAATGATGATGATGATATTTGTTGGTAGCGAAAAATGAAATGATGATAGTGCGATTAATACTGAAATTGCAAATAATCGTTATCGTTCGAAAGTTATCACTATCACTGTTATTGTTTTTGTTGTAATAACATGTTTATTAGTATTTATTTTTTTTTTATGACATTTTATTTTTGTTCAGGCCATTTCGTCAACTCTTTGTCAAGCTGGTGAAAATATGCGACGTGTTGAATGGAATTTATCATTATTGCAAGAAGGTGCCAAGCTGATACCTGATTTTTCAGCTTTCTCAACTAATAGCAATTGCTCCACCAAGGAATGATTAGAAGATTTGATTACAGTTCATGTATTTTCTATTGTTGAAAATTATTATAGCTTTTTTTAAAAAAAAAAAGAAAAATAATTTTAAGAGTTAATGTTTGTAAAGTTTTCATTTTTCTTTTTAAATTTCCAAATAGCACAAAAAAAATATATGAATGAAAAGAGTTTTCTTGTACTTTTGCTTCAAAATATCTAAAAATTAATTGTAAAAATTCTTTCAATGTGGGCAAAATTTCTGATATTCTTTTTTTGCTCAGCAAGATGAATTTCTTTCTTATCAACACTAAAATTTCTTTTGAAAAAAAAAAAAGAAAATGTGATCCTTTTCTATTTTTGAATAGCACATTTAATATTTTAAAGGGTAGAAAAAGTTCGAAAGTTTCATTGTCACTTCAACATCTTCTCACTCTTCATTTATTCATCAAAAACAATGAGAACTTATGAAAAAAGATTGCAAAGAGCTGTTGACTCAAATTAATGTAATCATTTCAAAAATTTGAGAGTAAGAGAATTATGAAAAATTTAATCAGAAATTAAATAAGCAATCGGAATTTAATTCAAACCATTTAAGAAATATTCGGGGGGAATGAAATTAAAGCAACACTTTCTTTTTTTTTTAAAAAAAAAAGTATGGTTTTTGATTGTTTGAGGTGATAATAAAGGAAGTTTATTGGGAAAGTATTTAGTTGTCATTTTTGCATATCACTCAAATTAATTAAATAGAGTTATAAAAAAAACTTTCATGTCTTCCTTTCATAAACTTTCAGTTACTCCGACATTTATTCTTTTCTATTCTGATTTGTTAAGAATATGATAATGAATTGTAACAAATTGAATAAAAATAACTTCATCAATGATAACCTGAATATCCTAGAAAATATATCCGCTTTTGATTTATTTATTTTTTTAAATTGCTCAGTTATTTTATACCATCTCACCAATCATATTTGTTTATTCATAATAAATTTACGATAATTTTTTTTTATTGAAATGTAAAAATTTCACAACATGTCTCAGTAGTACTTATAAAAAACTTTTATTCTTTTACAGATTGTCAACTTTTCCAAAATGAATGTGATTGTTATATAATATGCAAAATTATCAAAGCAATATCTTGTGTTTTAATATAATTTTTGAAAATTAAAAACTTTTTTCATGCAATTAAAATTGTAATTTATATGATGTTTATTAATTGAATCATTCAAATAATTGGAAAATAATTTTCGTTGAATATTCAAATGTTAAAACTAATTTTAAATCATTTGTTGACATGAAATCGTAACATTTTTAGTAACTTTTAATAGTCAAATCTTTAAAATTAACTTTTGAAATTTACAAAAATATTTTCAAAAGAAAAATAAAAAGAAATAATTCGAATGTGAAAAGAAAGAAGTCATAGTTTATTGTTCCAAATGTTTCTTCTTTCTTTTTTTTTTTTTGCTTTCAAAAATTTTCTCAATCTCTATTTCAATTTATTTTTGAATACCAATAAATCAAATTATGTTTCTTTTTCTTTTTTCTTTTTATTTCTTATGCCTACTATTTTCTTGTTTTTGCATTTATTTATTTGCCTCTTTTTTTTTTTTCTTAAAAATTTTATTTGATTAAATTTAAACGAATTCCTCAATGAATTAGTAGTAAGATAAGATTTTTCGAGTGTAAAAGCTTTATATTTCATATTTTGATCTTTTGCAATAATCAATACTTCCCCTGTTAAGTGGGAATTTTTTGTTTTTGGCTAGCCTCAGATAGGTTTTCTTTTTTATCGAGAACAGGAAGGATGATATGACAAGTGAATAAAATATCGAATGGAATAGAATTTTAATTAACGTTTTTATTTGTTTCTGTATAAATTCTCTAAATTCTACGGTAAAATATATTCATAAAATACTTTTTACCATATATCTTTAATATTTCCCGTTT